TTGTCTTAATAATGTCTGATAAGGAAATTATACCTAAGAGTGTGTATATACAGGATGTTTTCGAAATGTAAGTCATAATTTGAGAATATAGTTTTTTGGGTTATTTTAAACCCAATAAACCTTATAAATGTTATAATTAATTAAAGACACACATTCAGTTAATTGGTATTTAAGTCTGTGGACCAGTGACGGGTATACTAAGAGGTACTTTCACGAAAAAATAGAGTATTTTGGAAATCATTTAAAAAAATATATATGCAGGAATTTTTTTCTTGTTCGAAATGCAGTGTAGGCATCAAATATAAAAAATTCATTGACGTAGAATGTTTGAATATCTCTGAAATCAGTGCACTACACATATTTCTCATATAATTAAAAAATTGTACGCCCTTTTTTTAGGATTTTTTATGGTTACGATGTAATTAAAGTTATATTTCCAATAAAAAATCCTTATTCATTTTATTTTATTTGTAATTTTTGAAATGATTCACTTGTTTTTAGTTGGTTTAGTTTTGTTTTAATATAATTATTTGATAAGCTTGTTTAAATAAAAAATAACTCGATAACTACTTGCTTTTCGAATTACTGAAAGATACCTTTTTTTAAAGTAATTTGATGCACTTCCACCGAATTTCTAAAACACTCGGTGGCGTTGAAATTCTGCAGTTCTTCGTAATAGTGCCCCTTATATAGATAGCTCTGCAGTCTGCCACTAGATAACAAGTTTGTATACCAATTCAAAATACTTTTACCCTCAATTAATTATTAAGTCAAATTTTATCAATGTCAAAGATTGTCATAACGTTTAAATAGGCGTTATGCAAGTTTAGTCGTTCTCTTCACGCTGCTCTCCATCGCCTTGAGGTTTGATTCTTAGAACCTTATCTTTAAAGTGACCCCATATGCATTGAAGTGGCAAATTGCCGTTTTCTAATAGTTAAGGGCATAGTATAAAACATATTTTTATTTTGAACAGTTTCTTCAATTTACTTTGTTTACGGCCATTACAGGGATCCTTAACCTCAAAGTAACTGTATAAAAATTTTGTGATGTATTACACTGAGATCCATGAGCATATGTCCACCGTTTCGTTCTCAATAGATAGTGTGACTTCATATATTTAGGCAACCCGCAACAGATTGTCATAGTTGAAATTGTATAGACCGAATCTTCTGACCCTTGTGTACTATTTACATAGATACTATAGAAACGAACAATTTCAAATTAATTTATTTTTACAAGGATTTAGACAACGAATTGCAGGGGTTAGAATTCGTTTGATTTAGAAGTATTTAAGAACAACCAACACGTGTTTCGTAAAATAGATACACTAATGTTCTTAAAATTTACAAAACACGATATAAAAGAATATTCATAAATTTAAATAAAGTAAAAATTTAACATTAATCGTGTTATTCCCAATGCGCATGCTCGGAAAGAATAGCCTCATACGCAGGTGAAATCTTGTTGATATGTTATCGCTGTCATCATTAGCGTATTTTCTTTTCTTTTGTTTAATATTAGTATTTTCTAGTTCTTCTAAGTAGTGTTTTTCTTACTGTGTCAGTGTGTTTATCTAGTTTTTTTTCAAGTGGTTTATTATTGACGTATCTACTCTTAACCATAACCAAACTTTTCTTGAATGATATCTTGTTTCGAGGCTACTTTGCTTACATGAAACTATCTTTAATGCGCATTTAATTTATGAATTACTATGAAAGTCAATATTGTTCTATAAATTTAAATACATATATTCTATCATTTTTTTGGTTTGTCACTTGGCGTTTGAAACTTCTTAAATATTTCTAATATTGCCAGAATATCGCGATATTGAGATCATGACAAAGAAGACCTTTTTGGCACTTGACTAAAGTACATAAGGTCGAAAATCAATCTAGTAAAAGTATTGAGAAATTCTTTATGACAATGTGTATTGTGTACTATAGGACCCTATTATTTGGCGTATCTGACGTCACTACTAAAAAGGTCTATTATATTGTTATTATTAGCTACAGGGTTATTAAGAGAAAAAATAAATGAATAAGGGGGTACAACCGATACAAATTCTCCGAACCTTCCCCGTTAAACCGTTTTTTAGTGATGAGGTAAATACTTTTATTTTGTTCAGAGTTGGTTACTTTAAGGTAGGTAAGTAGATAAGTAGTTAGGAAACTATGACCTGCTCTTGTTGTTCTCAGGCTAGACTCTGTGGGGGCGGTCCCGCTATTAGAACCCCTAGGCGGTTCTTGTAGTTTCTGAAGTCGTTGCTGAAGGAACCGCCTATCACGCATTAGTGATCCTCTGAGTCGTTCCGTAGTAGGTAAATTTACGAAAGTGCGAAGTAATATTGTAACCGGCGGCGGCCAGGACATAGGCCACCGCATAACAACTCGAAAAACTACGGTACTTCAAATATCAGCACGGACCGTGAACGCCTTAAAACCACAATTATGAAACATTTTTATTATTTCCATTGATTTTTCCCTTCATCTTTCCAAAGTTTACGCCGTAGCGCCAGATTTAATTCTCTTAAACTCATTATTAACTGCCCCCACTTATTATTATTTTTTTTTGACATTATTACTTAATACTATCAATATACCGAGCGCAGAATAAAAGATTGCGTCTGCAATTTTGACACCAGTGAGGCGCCCTCTGAGAGTTTAGCGTTTCTGGGTCGTGACCCCATTGGCCCTGTGGTTAATCCGGCCCTGCGTGTGTATCAGGAAGTTAAAACCATACGTTTACGTTTTGTTCAATAGTATTAACGCACCTCATGTTGTACTACGTCACAAAAGCAATAATTTGAATAACAAATTGACCGAGTTTGTTCAAGAATACAATTAGATTTCAAAACCGAAAATCAATTTCCCGTAGTTGTGCAGTATATAATAAAACGTATTGTAGAAATACTTCATTAGTAACAAATTTAGGAGTGGTGGTTACAACGATTTATCAATCCCAATTTCCTAGGACGATACATTATCATCTGAGTGACGTATTAGAATGATTTCGTGGTGTAAATTATGAAAGCTTTTAATGTAATCTTGACCTCCATGTAGTTAAAACAGTTGTGTGCGTGACAAACAATGATGAAACTAGGTGCAATTATTTTTTAAAACGGTTTTCGACAGGTGAGACATTAAGTAGTTTGTTTTAAGATTTACTTGATATTTTTATAACATTTCTCTCGGCTGATAATGTTGTATACATATACAAAACACAAAATGATTTAGCTTTTACTTTTCTATTTAGTTTAGTAACTATATTCAATTTTCCCCATTTTTACACAAACGTACAATTTAGTCAAAAGTAAAAAGTAAGACCAAAACAAATTTAAGGTTATACTTAAAGAGGCAACAACCTGTCACGTCGGTAACAGTAATTTTAAAATGTTCTTTTTTCAGTCCTCCTGACATTCCCACATAGAAGTTTCTTTTCACCAAGGGTGAGGTTATGATAGAAGAGACCATGGTATACGGGGTGTTCGTTTTTCGAACCGCACCTTCAAGATTTCGATTATCTTAATAGATACAATAAAAATTTTCAGCTTTTTGTGGACAACTTCAAAACGCTTTTTTCGTTTAGGTCTAATTTCTCTTCATCAAATTCCGCAATTTTGTTCTAATTTGACCGATATTGAATTTATTAAAGAAAACCGTTTTTTTTAATGTACCTTACATATAAATGAGTTGATAAGCAAATTCTTTAATTGAATATTTTACTAATAGTAAGCAACTGGTTATTTTTTATGTATAGTTCTTACAATCCCGTTTCAGAAGTGAACAAAATACATCCCTTGTTGTTTTCTCATCTGAGCCATAGCTTAAGAACGCGATTTGCAAATAAACACAGTAAAATTCGTAACCAAATTCATCATATACAAGGTGTAACTTTGAGTGGGGGGCATATTTATACAGAGGCTTCCTTTGACTTTTAGAAACACGTATCAATTTTATTTTTTCAAATTTCGTCGTAAAAACTTCGTACTAAGTCACCTAACAAGAAAGTCTACAGTAATCAATAAAAATATATAAAATACACAAAAATAAATAGTCTGTTGATAGCTTCCAGCAATGAAAAACATTCACAGTAAAAAATCTGATCCCACCCTCCACTTAAAGTTACACCCTGTACAGTGACATCTTCTGAAAAACAAAACTGACCTGTACATTTTTGTTTTAATTGTAAGAAAGAACTAACCTGTTTGTACAAAATCTAACAGTGATTTTACGACAAACTTTAATATTGCCTGTAATTGAACTTATGTATTAAATATATGTTATCTACTTATATTTTCAGACTTTTTGACTTTCACGTCAAGAGTGCTACGGAAAGAAATTAGTTTGGAGTTTCTCCGTAATTTTTATGTCTCTAGTCTTGTATTTCTAAACACGTGTATATTTCCTATTTTCAAGAGATTTCTGTTAATTACTGATCGCAGTTTAGAAGGCAAATTTGTTTTTTTTTGAGTTGTTTAAGGAGCAAATAAAATATCAGAAATTACATTAAGTCAATCAATTTGAAAATTAACTATGACTATGAACTATCACCAGTTAATCAAAGTATAACATTAACCCCCATTTTAAGACCACACAAATGAATTTGTAGCATAATATTACAAAAACAACTTTTCCGTGCTGACTTGGAAGGTTATTTCCATGTTTCTGATACTGCTTCAGCATATTTTCAACAATCTGTCCAGGAATTTCTCCAACATACTTTAATAATTGCGTTATTTTTCAAAATTTCTAATCCAATCATTAAATTTCTCCAGGAATGGAATAAAAAAACGTTGGTCATAGACAGTGCAGTAGAATAAATCGATTAGATGCTGTATTTCAAATAAATAAATTTTAAATGTAAAACTCTACAATCATTACTTATGCAGCAATCTAATATAATAAAGTTTAATATTTGGATATGATTTGTGAGACATATGAATATTTCAGCGATTGCTTTCAGTCACAACTTTTTTATAATTTATAAATCTGTTTCAGGTTCTAACTCAGCTAGGATTGCGGTGAAGAGGGCCCAAACATCGCCAGATCATGGTATTGTATCACCAGCATCCACAAGTCCACCCTCAAAGGTAAGATCATTATTATTCTTCGCAGTTAATCCATAAACATTTATTTTTGTGCAATGTGCTGTTGTGCCCTACCTTGTGCTTGTTATTTATTTCCATATCTTGTGTCATACATTTGGACGCAGTTTTTCTCTTTTTTGTTAGTCGTACAGGGCGACGTATTAAATAAAAAAATATTGCATTATATTTGTAGATTTGAATGGATGGAAACAGTGAAATTGTACAAGATGGGTGTTTTCTCTACATCGTAAATATACCGAGTAATAAATAATTTGTTAGTTTTTCATGCGCTTCTTGTAGTGTACTAATTTTAGATAAGTATAATCAATGCAGTGTGCAAAATTTGCTGGAAATAAGTCAATTATCTGTACCGATTGAAGGTCTATAAACACACATCAATGCCGCATCAGTGCCCTGTCAGTTATCCGTAGTTGATCAGTGATGTCAATTTAAACATCCGTTCGTAATACATACTAGGCTTCAGAAAAAAAACCAAGACGAGAAAATTTAAAACAATGTTATGTATACAGGGTGATTCTTTAACAATGGGAAAATCGAAAACTGAAGATACTACACGTGAAATGGTGACCATTGGCGCAAACATGCCTTATCCGAAAGTTGATAGTTTCGGAAATACAGGGTGTTGAAAGTTAAAATTTTAAATCGTTTTTTTGCGATTATTCTGAAAATATGTAGGTTAGGAACTTGAAAATTTGTGAAACTATATTTTTTTAGGCGACGAATAAGATGCGTGTTGTAATTTCAGCATTGCTCATAGAGGGCGCCACTTACGACCAATTTTACCGAAAATTTAGTTAATAACTTTTTACCCTGTATGTCTAACATGAAACTTGATTCAAAACCTGAAAGAGCAATCATTTTTCCATTAATTGTGTATTCTTGTTTCATTTCGGTATCTCGATCCGTTTTCGAGAAAAATCGATTTAACGAACACTATGTTTTGATAATACGAGAAATTAAAAGCGAAAGAAACCAAGTGTTTCTTCGTGTTATTACAACAATTAACAATAAAACAAATGAAATTCGTAATAATGATTTAAAGTCAGTGTTCGAAGAATCCACCGTTGACATTTACACACTTTACACAACGTTTTCTGAGAGATCTTCGAGTTTGAAACAACATATTGGGATTGCGTTTGACTTCGTTGGCAGCGATTTGTATTCTTTGCCACAACTCTTCACACGAACCAATAGATTCTTCCAAATAGAAAAATGAAGAGGATTGAAGTCCGGACTTCTGGGTGGCCAAGTAAAAATGCTTCCACGGCTTGAAGAAGTTCCACTTTATTTAAGAAGAGACATGTGGTTCATGCACGACGGAGCTCCACCGCATTTTTCTTGGCCAGTGCGTGCATATTTAGATGCAGTTTTTCCAAATCGCTGGATTGGCCATGTAAGCATTTTTGCTTGGCCATCCAGAAGTCCGGACTTCAATCCTCTTGATTTTTCTATTTGGTCTCGAATGAAAGATATAGTTTACAAAGAATCTATTGGTTCGTGTGAAGAGTTGTGGCAAAGAATACATATCGCTGCCAACGAAGTCAGACGCAATCCCAATATGTTGTTTCAAACTCAACGGTGGATTCTTCAAACAATTACTTTAAATCATAATTACGTATTTTATTTGTTTTATTGTTAATTGTTGTAATAACACGAAGAAACACTTGGTTTGTTTCGCCTTTAATTTTAGACCAGGCAAGTTAGACAATAAATCAGAAATTTTTTTCTGATGAACCGATCGAGTTTCGGCATTGTCTTCGGAAAAATATCAGGAAAAATGTCTATCTATTACACTTTGGGGCTGGATCGAAACTGCATTGCGGGTGCATAAACTGCATCTTGGAGTGCATCAATTTTTCCGAATTTTCTAAAAATGGTAAAAATTTACTAAAAGTTGTAGAAATTTGTGTGCACGGGTTTTCGGGGTTGGAGATTCCAAATCTGACCCTGAAAACTATGCACGACGGCCCTGGGGCCCCCCAGGGGGGCAAGGCGGGGCTTTCTGTAAAACATCGAATAGCTGAGTAATTGCCTTCTAAATTTCCACTCGGGGTTTTTGGGGTCGGAGATTTCGATTCTGACACTGAAAAGTATCACCGACGCCCCCCTTCCAGGGGGCTTCTGTAAAACATCGAATAGCTGAGTAATTGCCTTCTAAATTTCCACTCGGAGGTTTTTGGGGTCGGGGATTTCGATTCTGCCACTGAAAAGTATGCCCGACGACCCTGGCGACCCCCAGGGGGGCAAGGGGGGGTCTGTAAAACGTCGAATAGCTGAGTAATTGCCTTTTAAATTTCTACTCAGGGGTTTTTGGGGTCGGGGATTCCGATTCTGACACTGAAAAGTATACCTGACGCCGGGGATGTGGGCTTTCTGGAAAACATCGAAAGGCACATCAGATTTTTGCACCTGCTTACCAACCATGATCTTGTAGGTTCATCTTTACATTGTAACACACGTAAATTTACAGAGATTAGACAAGAAGGGTAAGAAAGACTAACAGGAAATTAATGAGTCTAAAAGAATCCCCTTTATTCTGAGAACCAATTTTCTTTTTATTTGCAAGGCAATTAGTGAGACAATTACTATCATATGTTTATCTAACACTTTCACTATCAATCACAATTTTCATCATCAGTACTGTCAACACTGTCTCCATCACTATCATCTATTACATTATCGACTATTTCAGGATTGGAACAGTTGGTTGTAATCCCATGCTTCCTGCACCCACAAGATCTGCATTGTCGATAATTGGATTTTGTCGCCTAATTGCTATGCATATCCGCAGTCGCACGGGTCGAAGAGATTCTTTTGAAAATCCATGATCCATGAAATATTCTTCGGTTTTAAGGAATATTTCTTTGATTTAACGAAATGTGTCTCTTGGGAACGGATTGTCCAGGATTTCTCCAATTCTACGACAATTTTTCTCAGTGATAGATAAGCTAAGATTAATGGATATTTTCCAGTGTCACATTCGGAATCCCCGACCCCGAAAACCCCCCGAGTAGAAATTTGGAAGGAAATTACTCAGCTATTCGATGTTTTATAGAAGGACCCCACTTGCCCCCCTGGGGGGGGCGTCCGACATACGTTTCAGTGTCAGAATTGAAATCCCCAACACCAAAAACCCCCGAGTGGGGATTTGGAAGCCAATTACTCAGCTATTCGATGTTTTACAGAAGGCCCCCGCTTGCCCCCCCTGGGGGGCCCCAGGGCCGTCGGGCATATTTTTCACTGTCAGATTCGGTATCTCCGACCACGAAAACCCGTGTACATAAATTTCTACAACTTTTATTCAATTTTTACTATTTTTAAAAAAAATCTGAAAAATTGATGCACTCCAAGATGTAGTTTATGCACCCGAAAAAAATTTCCGTATTCTGGGTGACTTTGGTCTAACTTGCCTGGACTATTCTCATATTATCAAAACATAGTGTTCGTTAAATCGATTTTTCTCGAAAACGGATCGAGATACCGAAATGAAACAAGAGTACATAATTAATGGAAAAATGATTGCTCTTTCAGGTTTTGAATCAAGTTTCACGTTAAATATACAGGGTAAAAAGTTATTAACTAAATTTTCTGTAAAATTGGTCATAAGTTTCGCCCTCTATGAGCAATGCTGAAATTACAACACGCATCTTATTCGTCGCCTAAAAAAATATAGTTTCACTAATTTTCAAGTTCCTAACCTACATATTTTCAGAATAATCGCAAAAAAACGATTTAAAATGTTAACTTTCAACACCCTGTATTTCCGAACCTATCAACTTTCGGATAAGGCATGTCCGCGCCAATGGTCACCATTTCACGTGTAGTATCTTCAGCTTTCGACTTTCCCATTGTTAATGAATCACCCTGTATACAGGGTGTCTCATAATTAGCTGCCAACCCTGAACAGGCCGATTCTATGATCAAAACTAAGTAAAAAAGTTCATATGAACATGGGTCCGGAAATGCTTCCTAAGGGCACAAGGACCCATTGAAGAGGGAGGAATGGAAATCATTTTTTTGCAATATCTCTCAATCGCGTTGTGATAAATGAATGAAATTTGGTATACACAGCTAAATTTTGATGAGCAATTTGATGGACTAATCCATTTATTTCCACAAGGTCCATTGGGGTGGGTACGGGGGGGCCCTTGGTACTTTGCGTGTGTAACTTTTTCATCTTTGACTTTTTAACAAATTGGACAGCAAATTCCGTTTTCCCGAACTGTTTTACGTTAAAAAGGTACTCTTGTTTCAAATCGTTATCTTTAACGGTTTCTGAGAAAATCGCTCTTGAATTAATCCCACTTTGGTCAATTTCATAGTAATTTAAACAAAAAATAATAATAATAATTTTCCTTTCCTCTCTTTTCCATTTAAAGGATTAATTTTTATTTAATTTAATTTTTTATTATTATTTTTTTATTAAAATTAGATTAAATTTAAACAAAAAAATTTTTTTTGTTTAAATTACTATGAAATTGACCAAAGTGGGATTAATTCAAGAGCGATTTTCTCAGAAACCGTTAAAGATAACGATTTGAAACAAGAGTACCTTTTTAACGTAAAACAGTTCGGGAAAACGGAATTTGCTGTCCAATTTGTTAAAAAGTCAAAGATGAAAAAGTTACACACGCAAAGTACCAAGGGCCCCCCCGTACCCACCCCAATGGACCTTGTGGAAATAAATGGATTAGTCCATCAAATTGCTCATCAAAATTTAGCTGTGTATACCAAATTTCATTCATTTATCACAACGCGATTGAGAGATATTGCAAAAAAATGATTTCCATTCCTCCCTCTTCAATGGGTTCCTATGCCCTTAGGCAGCAGTTCCGGACCCATGTTCATATGAACTTTTTTACTTAGTTTTGATCATAGAATCGGCCTGTTCAGGGTTGGCAGCTAATTATGAGACACCCTGTATAATATACAGAAATTTATTAAAATTATCAACACTAATATTTAATGTAGAAATAAAATCA